TCTAAATTTCATATGGCTCAAGAATATAAAAATGTGGAATTTAAAAATTGTTCAGGTATGTATCTTAAAAATATTTAAAGATTCATAAAAATCAATATTTCTTACGAGAACAAATGATCCAAAGAAACATGAAAATTCTCAAGATCCGTAATCAGCGTAATTAAAACTGCAGCTGCTCCCGGTGAAAATCCACAAGGAAAGATCTTTCACGGTTAAAATACATACTGGGTGAAGGATACTAAACGTCTCTACGGATTTATAAATTGTCCTAAATCTTCTTCTCATTATATTCCAAGATTAAATTCAGGGTTGAGTGACTGTATAGGAATCGATAAAGAAATTGAAACCGATACTTCCCGATTTCCAATATACAGGTAGACAGTCGATAGTTTGTAAAGTTAGAATTGTAATGTATACGTCATGTCTATATTGTCAACGCAATCCAGGGCTATGGGACTCCTGAAGAACCATAAAGCTCCTTCCCGTATCATGAAGCTTACCTACATGCGAAGAAAAGTTAGTTGCAGTCTTTATGGAAGAAAATTGCAATCCCGATAAGGTAGCTACCCCTGCTCTACTATACACAACGACTTAAACTACACAGTATAAAAATCACACTCATGCCACATAAAAAATGGCAATTAAACATATAAATAATAAACAGTAGTAAATTATTTCATACACCACGCGTGTCAACTAACGTTACACCCTGTATGAAAAATGTCATCATAGAATTTAAAATAATTATTTTAGTAATAAGGAAATGTGTGGATAATGGAGGCAATTTATGATACTGCGAAGTTATATCTTTCTATAGATAGCTATATCTTTCTAAGCTATAACTAATTTTCGAAAACGTCTCGATATCGGCTCAAGAAAACGTAGTACAAAATACGAGTTCGTGTTAAAAAAAAATTAAAAATTTGGACTTGATATAATCTCTGTATGAAAAATGTCATCATAGAATTTAAAATAATTATTTTAGTAATAAGGAAATGCGTGGATAATGTATGCAATTTATGATACTGCGAAGTTATATCTTTCTATAGATAGCTATATCTTTCTAAGCTATAACTAATTTTCGAAAACGTCTCGATATCGGCTCAAGAAAACGTAGTACAAAATACGAGTTCGTGTTAAAAAAAAATTAAAAATTTGGACTTGATATAATCTCTGTATGAAAAATGTCATCATAGAATTTAAAATAATTATTTTAGTAATAAGGAAATGCGTGGATAATGTATGCAATTTATGATACTGCGAAGTTATATCTTTCTATAGATAGCTATATCTTTCTAAGCTATAACTAATTTTCGAAAACGTCTCGATATCGGCTCAAGAAAACGTAGTACAAAATACGAGTTCGTGTTAAAAAAAAATTAAAAATTTGGACTTGATATAATCTCTGTATGAAAAATGTCATCATAGAATTTAAAAAAATTATTTTAGTAATAAGGAAATGCGTGGATAATGTATGCAATTTATGATACTGCGAAGTTATATCTTTCTATAGATAGCTATATCTTTCTAAGCTATAACTAATTTTCGAAAACGTCTCGATATCGGCTCAAGAAAACGTAGTACAAAATACGAGCTCCTGTTAAAAAAAAATTAAATTTGGACTTGATATAATTTCTGTATGAAAAATGTCATCATAGAATTTTAAAAAATTATTTTAGTAATAAGGAAATGCGTGGATAATGTATGCAATTTATGATACTGCGAAGTTATATCTTTCTATAGATAGCCATATCTTTCTAAGCTATAACTAATTTTCGAAAACGTCTCGATATCGGCTCAAGAAAACGTAGTACAAAATACGAGCTCCTGTTAAATAAAAAATATAAAATTTGGACTTGATATAATCTCGGCAACATTGTTCAAAATCAAAATGAACCTCCTCCCTCACCTCACTTCCCTCTGGAAACTGAACAACTTTTGTCCCAAACATTTTACGATATTCGACAAAACGCCGATTGTATCCCGAGTAGATGAATTAAATGTTCCACCCTGCATACAGGGTGTTTTTTTTGAGACATCGAAATGTCTCAACAAATACGCATCCTACGAAAAAAAATGTCTGTAATAAAAAAATTTGTATTTTCGAGGGGAAAAAGCGACTTTGAAAAATTTAGCCCAAACCCTACCCCCTGGGGGCAGGAGGAGGGTAACTTTGAAATTTCAAATAAGAACCCCTATTTTTTATCACAGATTCCGATTCTCCTTTAAAAAATACGTGAGTTTTGTTTGAAAATTTTTTCTCGATTCGCGACAGATGACGCTGCAAGTGAAAAATGAAATTTTGTATTATTTCAAGGATAACGCTTCCAAACGAAAGGTAAATGAGACGTGTTCAATGTATTCAGGAGGACCATTCAATTGTAGTCAATTCAATTTTAGGCACTACTTTTAGCTCTATCCAGGAATAACGACGTGGACGTAGCAGTGGCCTATTCCCTTCGGGGTGTTTGATATCGGTGAGTCCCTTTGCCTCTCACCATCGGGGTGATTGTTTTTTATTAAAATTTTACAATGAGTGCTCAAAAATGGTGTCCTCCGACTTCGATGCACTTTTTAATTCGAGCTTCGAAAGATTCAACACATCTGCGAAGTGTGTCTGGACTGGAATATAATGGATAAGACTATATATTATAGTTCAGGCGCGCATACTCTCGAAAATTCACTCTGTCCAAGAGAGCGCCTGCGTTAGTTTCTTGTACGTTGTTCTGCCATATAAAAGCAGCCACTTGTTGAACGATGCCCATACCTCCCCAACACCGTAGGTATCATTTACAACTGGCAATTCGTTGTACAGTGACAACTTACAACAAACCAACGGACAACCGTCCAAACGTTAAACATCCAGCCTGATCGTATCGACTAAAGGTCAGTTTTGAAAAATTTGCACAAATTTTGGTGAATTAAAAAATGGTGTCGTATAAGAGTATTTTGAATTTTCGCGCATTTTTTTTACCGATTCATAGCGAATCTTTTATGAATTTTGTACTCAATGATTTTCATTGTTTTTCATTGGAGTTTGAAAATTAATTTTTTGGAAAATAAGCTCTATTGCCATTTTGAGCTTTTTTACTGATGTTGTTCTTCCTGACAGACACTGATAGTCCGATAAAGCTTTTCATTAAATAAAATCACATTGATTGTCAGCGGCTTGATAGTAGCCGTCGTGAGGAGATTAGTTGGTCGCCGCAGAAATGAAAGCTACGGGAAATTGCAAAAGTCTTTTACGGAAATGGTAGACGATCGAAATTTTAATATTATCGACTATTCTGCTGCTTTTGGTCTGCTCTTATCAGTGTGCTTATCGAGTGACGATTAATTTATTAATTTTTTTGTTTTAATGACACCAAGTACGTAGTTACTGACATGTATACATATAATTATTACCATTTGGACCAGGCAAGAGACATAGTGATAAAAAGAAATGAGACTTCTGTGCAAGTTTTAATTATTTCAACAATGGTGTAATTAATTGAAATCTGCATTTATTGGTCCGAATAAATTAGCTGTGATCGCAGCTGGTAGTCGATATTACGAAATATTTGCAAAAGTAAAATTTTTGTTACGTCATTGGCTTTATTTAAAAATTAGTAAATTACTGCGAGAGCATATTTTTTTTATGTAACTCATGCATGAAAAACGCTACTTTTCGTGCCTCCAAAGTGTGGCGTAAGTGGCGCTTTATAACTAAGGATACGATAAATATGATGCGCATGCGCAAGTCGGCCCAATTCTACATTATCGCACTAGTGCTTTCTTCTCGCACTGGTGCGATAAGTAAACTTTGTTCTCGCGCGCTGTCATGAAGTGCGTTCACTTTGGAGGCCTTCCTTGCTCTTCTTATGGCTGCCTCCTCCAATGAGGAGATGTTCCAGTCACTTCGGAGGCAGAAAAAGTAGCACTTTTCATGAATTCGTTACAGAAAATATTATGCGATACTGGTTGCAATAAAGTTCGCTTTATCGCACTCGTATCGCAAAGTACTATTTTGTCAATTAAAAAAATCAATTAATTGTACACAGGGTAACTCATGTTCGTAACAATGATTTACGTTCTCGTAAAACTATTCGCGATAATACGTAATATCCCCAGGTTAGAATTTCCCTAGAGACTTTTGGACACCTAGTGGTATTCTCTGTTTTCGAAAATAAGATTAGCGAAAATTTGCCACATGGCGAATGTTTCGCGTGCGAACTTCCCAGCAATTTCACAGCGTTTCCTACAGTGGACGAAAACTATTTCGAATGTAACAGTGAAACTTACTTGAGTTTATGTAACAGCCCTTAAATATATATATCTGCATTCTCTATTCAATTCTCTATATTCAAACGGACTCGAATGCTATTAAATAAAAGAGCTTCGGTACACTCGGGTACAAAATTATCCCGGTCCTTTATATTTACGACTATTTGATTTTTGCATTTTTTGAATTTAATTTTCAACCTACACGCAACACCTGTGACGGAAAATTTCGTCACAGCTCACCCTCGGCCTATTTACGCGCACAATCATCTTTCACCTCAAATCCGATCGTTGGCTAATACGACACGGCCGTGCGAGCTATCAACATTTGTACGTCTTCGTTATAGGATGTATCGTAGGAGTGACTGTAGAGTAACCCAATTAAATATTACCTAAGTGAGAAATAAAATATTAAATTTCTTTTTCAAAATAATATAGTCGATACAAAATTTTGGGGGCGATATCAAAATAAAGGCGTTTTTTCTTATTGATCGATTTATAAAATAATTGTATGATTTTTGGTCTTTTGTACATTGAAATTGTATGGGCAGGTCTTAATTGTCACTTGCGTTGCACGCAATCGCCGTCAGAATGCGCAGCAATCGCTTGGAATTTAAATATCAGAAAAAGTAAGTATTTAGTTCTAGGCCGTGACGAGCCTTGTGACACTACCCTAATAAGCTCGAAGCGTATGACGTGCGATCGATCGAGAATCCGTACAAATCATCAGTTCGTTCTGTTATCCTCAAACTTCGTAGTTGCTAGGTCAACGCATGGTGCACCTGCGGAAATCTTCGTGAAAGATAAAAAAAAGATTAACGAGATCAAAGTGAATTCTGGATTTTGAAAAAGACAAATTTATTCGTACCACCAAAATTTTCGTTCGCGAGAAACAGGAAACTTTATTATCTGACACATGCGCATTAAACGGTGTGATCGAAATTTTGAAATTTGGCTCCTGTGATCGACGCATTTGAAAAGTGAGAGCGGAGGGTTCTCTCGGTTGATTTGGTAATTGTTGTAAAATTTGCAAAATTTTTTTTTTGTGTTACAGCGAACATGAACCTCGAGGAATATCGAAAGCATGGTGAGTTTTTTGAAATGTCCAAAAAAATTTTTTTACTTATATACGATTTGATAAAGCTTTTTATTTTTTTTTCTGCTAAATTACTTGCCGTGATACGGTGCATATTGGGTTCTTGGAAATAAAATTAGGTAAGGGAAACTTGGCGAGATCGTTGGCTTCCAATAAAATCGAATAACCGTGGCCGTAAGAAAGATTTAAATAAAACCAGATGCACGGCCGATCGGGATTCGCGAACACTGAAACAATGTCAATAAAGAGAAATCGTACAAGTCTGGTGATAGGGAAGGGTGGATATTGTCAGTAAAGGAAATTTTATGGGGACGATATTGTTCCTCGATTCCCTACCTACCCCTAAAGCCACCTATAAATGATTGGAACGTCAATTGACTCGCAGCTATATTCTATTTGAAGCAACTGCTTTAGTTATTTCAAAATTGCACCAAGCCTTATTTATAAAATATTTAGTCAATGGAATAAACTCTTCATTGATTTCTGACAAAACAATCCACCTACTATTCTGCACCTTAAACCGTAATGTATTTACCTCTTCTCAGTGTTTACCCCTAAACACGATGAAAGGGTTGGAAACAATTTATTTTCTCCATCCAAGCAACGCACGCAGTTCTCTCTTCTCTCAGTTCATCCCCTTCTTGTTGTTTTAATTGACAATTTATTTGGACGCAGCGTAAATAGTAAGAGGCTGTCAAAGTGTTTATCTACCTTAGATTTCGATTAGGGTAGTTCTTTTTGCCCATAGATGTCTATCGATCAATGAACGGAAGCAGCCTCCACTTAAAAACCCTTAAAAAAAAACCACAAAAAATCTTAGCTCTAATTATTGTAAAGAAATTTTTTGAAAAATTTTAACGGATGAAAAATTTTAATTTTTTATACACAGGCAAAGAAATGGTTGACTACATAGCCGACTATCTCGAGACTATTCGTACTCGTCGTGTCTATCCGGCAGTATCACCGGGTTATCTTAGAAACATTTTACCACCTTCAGCACCCCTCGAGGGTGAACCCTGGGAGGAGATTTTTGGAGACATAGAAAAGTGCATAATGCCTGGCGTTACTCATTGGCAGAGTCCACACATGCATGCCTACTTTCCAGCTCTAAATTCGCCGGCCAGCCTCCTGGCCGATATGCTCGCTGATGCCATAAACTGTCTCGGTTTCACCTGGGTAAAAAATTTTTTAAATTAATAATTAAAAAAAAATTCTATCCAACATCGTTCACCGCATTAGGCGTCAAGTCCCGCGTGCACCGAGCTGGAGACAATCGTAATGAACTGGCTTGGAAAAATGATTGGACTGCCCGAAGAGTTTATACATCGTCCTGGTGGCTCAGGGGGTGGTGTCATACAGACAACTGCCAGCGAAGCAACCCTTGTTTGCCTATTGGCTGCAAGGACCAGGGCGATTCGTGATATTCAGCAGAACGAACCTGATCGATTACCTACGGAGATCAATTCACGACTTGTAGCTTATTGTTCGGACCAGGTGAAAAATAATTATCAATAACGGACTATTGGTGAGTGATTGAATTTTTCGAATAATTACGTGACACTTGATAGGCCCATTCGAGCGTCGAAAAAGCTGGATTGATCGGATTGGTTCGTATGAGATACATTGAATCGGATGATGACCTCAGTATGAGGGGTGAAATGCTGGCGGAAGCTTTGTCACGTGACCGCGAAGAGGGACTAGTACCATTTTTTGTGAGTAACTTGAATAATTTTCGATTTTCATTGTACGCAATTGGAAAAGGGATCGCCCTTGGTGATTCACGTAGAGATGCAGAGGGATTGAAATTGCGGTAATGTACCTAAGGGGTTGTAGCATCTGGTGATACTTCAGTCGGTCTCAAGGGGGAATTTTGAAATGAAGATGTACAGCAATTTAGAAAATAATGATAATCACTCTTGGTCACCATGCAACCTTAAGGGGGTGAATGGAAAAGGGAAACAAAAAATAGGAAAAATAGACAGGGTGGGTGGAAAATCTTCTTACTTAGATTTGTTGCATGTCAGCATCTTCCAATTAATTTTGTCTTATCTCTCTTCGCTTCTAAAGAGTAAGCTTGATGGACAAGAAAATTCTAAGATAATTAGTCCCTTTGGGAAATTTTGCTTTGGTCTCGGATGACTGGTTTAAGTATTTTTTATGGTTGATTTTCAATTAATAATCGAGATAAGTAGCCTTTGTTAATGGACCTTAGAGGACCATTGATCGGATGAAATAAAAATTTATTTAATATAAATTATTCGTTATTGATAGGGTCTATTAATTTTTTCAGGTGTGTGCCACACTGGGCACTACCGGTGCTTGCTCTTTTGACAATCTCAAAGAGATAGGACCCATTTGTAAGAATTTTGAAATAAATGTCAAGCACTGTATTTGTCATTAAGATGGGAAAATTTTTGAATTTTTTAAATTTATCTTAGGTGGAAAGAATGGACTCTGGTTGCACATTGATGCTGCTTACGCCGGAAGTGCTTTTGTCTGTCCGGAATTTCGTAGCTGGCTTCAGGGTATTGAATATGCCGATTCCTTTGCTTTCAATCCAAGCAAATGGCTTATGGTACATTTCGATTGCACGGCCATGTGGTAAGTAAAATTTTTGAAAAATTTAATTTTTTATAATATTTTATTTACAATTCGGTGACATTGAAATACTTTAATTATGGGTAATTATTAACACCGCGTGAATATTGAGCGTATCGTGAAATAATATAAAATAAAATGAGAACCGCTTTCCATAAAGCATAATTCATCACAGCTAGACTCATAATCGAAAGCTTCCGCGGAAGTAGTCAGTCCGGAAGAGCGACGACTTTTTTTATCGTGACGTAATTTCCGTTCGAACCTAAGAACGGTTGTTCATGGCTTGAGAGAGACTTGCCACTGACTCCAATTGCTATCGAGGTTGATCGATCAGCCGAGTAATATAGACGCGTGTTAATATATAAATATATTCCGAAACTATATATATATACAGTCTGTGATACAAATCGAGTTTTGAAATTAAAATTAAAAAATTTGGTTTATTGAAATTTCAAAAAATAAAGTTCAAATAAAATTTTCTCCGATTTCTTCATATTCTTACTGTTTGTTAATAAAAATTAAGTGTTTTCGTGTGTACACTAATTAGAAAAAAAAATCAAATTAGTTGTCTAACGAGCAGTGAGAGAGAATAAATATGGTGACGTGTAATTAGCGCCAAGCGAACTGTTAAGATTTTTAGGTTAACTTGGCAAAATCTTCTATGTGCTTTCTAGGGTGAAAAGTAGCCAGGCTCTTCACAGGACATTTAACGTGGATCCATTATATTTGAAGCATGAAAATTCTGGTAAGAGGATTACTTGATTATTATTTTTATTATTTGTTCAATAGACATCGAACTATTATCGGTTCTTCGTGATCGATTATTAACGGTTTTAATTACTATTTCGCAAGCCATTACACCGTGATATATTATATAAATCCGTGAGAAAGTATTTTAGGAAACAAATAATATTTTTTTTACCTTCACAATAAAATTCATTTGATATATAAAAAAATTTTTTTTTAGGACTCGCTATCGATTATATGGTAAGTTCAATTTCGATGCGGTATCGCCAAGTCAATTGAAATATTTCAATCTATTGTTTTTCCTTAGCACTGGCAAATACCTTTATCCAAAAGATTCCGAGCTTTAAAGCTTTGGTTCGTAATTCGAAATTATGGGATAACCGGATTGCAGAAACACATACGCGAGGTAAAATAATGAAAAATAAAATTTTTGCGCACTACGAGACTTTTTATTATACGCAAAATCTGTTTTACCTACAGGGTGTCAGATTAGCACAGAAATTCGAGGCTCTGGTTTTGGGCGATAGTCGTTTTGAGATTCCAGCAACCAGACACTTGGGAATGGTTGTGTTTCGTCTACGGGGTGAAAATTCATTAACGGAGAGGCTACTGAAGAGGATGAACAACAGAGGACGTGTTCATTGTGTACCAGCGGCACTGCATGGGCAATACGTCATAAGATTTACTGTGACGTCAACTAAGTAAATTTTTTTGAAATTTTTTTTTTCGTCTTCGGATTGATTTTTTCATACATTATTTTTCAGTACTACTAACGAAGACATACTCAAGGATTGGGCGGAAATACGTAACACAGCGACGGAAATACTAGGACAGAATAATGGTTCGCCCGTAAGAGTTAAGGTGTCTTTGGCAGGTAACACGAATTTGCTGATACATAGGCATATGTGTTAAAAATTTGTTTTTTTTTGCTAAATAAGTAATAAATGATCTTGAATCCTCGAAAAAGACTAAATAGCTTATCAATATTGACCTTTAGATTAGAATTAAAAATGGCTTTGGAGAACCTTGTTTGCATGAACAATATGTATTATGTGTGTAAGTTAAGTAAGTAAATTTTGTTTTTTACTTTTTTTCGTTACGCTTTACACTTTTTGCATGTGGAGAGAAAGGGATCGATAATGTTACGTCATATAAATATTTTTATTATTTTCTTTTATTGTTATTCTTTATTTTTGAAAAAAATGTAATAACGAACTAGTACGAGCCGTATGTTTGAATTTCAGAGACACGCGAGAAAAATGAGAATTTTGGATCGAGCCTTTTATTGGCAAATTCGCCGATGTCACCAAAAATTGTTAATGGAAGCTTTGCTGCCATTTACGACACTGCTGATGTATTTAACGAATGTATGAAAACTTTTGGACAGCTTCGATTGGAAGCTAGAGACAGTCCAGGCAAATTATTGTGATATAATATAATATATTAGAATAATAATAATAATAATAATAACAATAAATAACATAATTATATTTATAGCCATGCGAAGACGTATACGGGGTATTTTGATGTCTGGAAAACAATTCTCATTGGATTCCCGTATGGATCTTGTGCAGGTACGTAAAAATTGAGACCTGTTTAAATACCCCAAAAAACTAATTGAAAAACATTATTTTACACAGGGATATGCCTCCTGTGGTAGACCGCTTTCCGAACCTTGCACAAATCTACCATTAATGAGAGAAGATGAAGATGGCATAGGAAAAACAGAATCTTCGATGAGTATCGATAAAACAGATTCGTCAATCGGTAAATTCTTAATAAATTATTTCTAAATTATTGACGAAGGATGTCAAATCCTATTGAAGCTTATACACGTAGGTGACTTCTCTTTTCTTTTCCAGAAAATTCTTGCGGAACTTTCATGGACCATTTTGAATCCGCGGAATCCCTCGCCGGTAAAACAGATTCCTGCACTGACGTCGGTGGGTACGTTACCAAGATAGTAAACGGCTCTGTCGGTAAACAAGATGTTACCAAAATGACGGATCAGGTAGATCCCAAGGAGTTTAGCCTCGAAAAGGGTTTATGCAAGAGTGAGACCATTGGAGCCATCAGCAATATATCAAATTCTAGCGGTGTGTTATCACAAATGAAAAGGGATTCAAAGGATTCAGGAAAACTGTGCCAGAAGTGCGGCCATTATACGACCCAAGAATAGACAACAATGGTGTATTGCGTCATATAGAATAGTAAAGTCTGAAAATCGATTGCGTAGTAACACGAGAATGTTTGTCCACTGTTCGAGGATAGCATTGACGATTCATCATAATAATTCGCGTTCCATTATTTTTATTTTCTTTCTTAGAAAAAAATTTTAATAAAAATTGTATTTTGTGAAAAATATAATTAAACAATTAGTCGCGCGTTAGTTTGACCGTGAGTAAACATATTTTCTGTTCTCACTGCGTGAGACATAATTTTTCTTTTTGTTGCTGTTGTCACTGCAAGAATTCTGAGCATAAAAAAAATACGACTCGTCGTAGGTCTCTGTAATGTCGTAAATTAGCGAATCAAAGATGGAGGGAGGAAGGTTGTAGTAGTAATAATAATAACGATAATAATAATAACAACAATAACAATAATAATCGTGAAAATGATTAATTTCTCTTAAATAATAATTGAGACTGGTAAATTCTGATATATAAATTTTATTTTCATCGATGATATGACTACGAAAATGCCACAATCCAGCATTTCCTTCTTTTATGGTATGATATAATAAATGTTCTCTGCATCTTACATAATATTGTACTGCCTAACCCAGCCGCGTCGGCAGCAACGCACAATTCATTATTCCTTACGATCTAATGATATTTGGCGTTTTGAATCTAGATTGATCCTTTTTGTTCTCTTTATATAATTTTCTATACTCTTCATTTTTTTTTTCACCCTCATTTCAACAATATTCTCTTTCTTTGTCCGCCCTCTAAATTCAATATCTCGCTGAATGATAATTAGCACCTATGCGTGTATAATTAATTAATTCAACTTTAATAACGAGCTGTGTGATATTCCTGCGAATTGTTAACGTCATCATTTTTTTTTCTCATAAAGGCGCAAAATAATAATCTTTCGAATTGAAAGAAGCCTTTTTGATTTGATTGGCTAAAAAAAATGAGACACTGCGTGAAAAGCTTATTTTAAATAATTGAAGCAGCGTGAAATTTTTTGAAAAATTTTTGCGAACGGCAATGAATACCCAAGTGACTCAAAGCTTGAGAGACTTTTTAATGTTTTACATCGTGAAACATTATTTAACCCAATTTAAAAAATATCGGAAAAAATTGTATTTATCCTAATTCATTTATAGTATTCACTGATTCCGTATTTACGGATGATTCAGTACCTTTGAGCCACCTCAAGAATCTTTTTACTTATGTAAATTATAAATTTATAATATTGAATAACAACATCATATGTCATCTTGTATATCTATACGTAATATTAATTCTCATTATTATTGTTATTTTTTTATTAAACTATTTAAATCGACTGTCACGCCTACGGCGTACAATAAATCTCTGTGTCGTCAGTGGATCCAATTAAAAATCGATTTCATCGTGAAATCGTTATCCACTTATTTATCAATCGAATTAATAATCGGCACGACCGCGCGATCTATCTAAAACTTTGACATTTTAATTAGCGCATTGTGGAATTACTATTGCCTAATAAACGTAGTACAGTCGCATTCTCGAAACCGTGCACGAGTTTCGTTGGAATTGGATTTTCCCTCAAAAATTTATTTACTGATGATGGAAGAAGAAGCACTTTTGTATTCTCTCTCAACAACATTGTGAAAATATTCCTAATAAAATTCATTAATTTACAGTTTTCCATGTATAGGTATATATACGACATATATATATATATATATATATAACAATTATCAATAGAGCCAAACTATTATCAATAGGATCCGATAAGAAATTTAATAATCACTATAATTCACTATAATTTTCACGAATACGTCACTGATTGGAATTTCTCTAATTACGTAAAAAAAAATTTTTTTTTTTTCTTAGTATCAGCAAACATAATCGCAATAAAATCGAACGAAGCTTTTTAATCGTACTGATCGTGCATGGTTTCACGAGACTCCAATAGACACTCAATTAATGCTTATAAAATGAATTGGAAGTCACACAGAATGAAAGTGCTACTTCCGGCTTTAACACTTAATTTTGGGTGCAACATAGATTATAATACACTGAGAATTTAAAGGTTAAAAACATTTCACTTATATATGCTTACGTAATCGATACGTAACAATTTATAAACGTATGTATCTATACACGCGGCATATATAGATAGATATGTATACAATAATATATAAAGCTTCTTGTTTGGCTAGCATCACTCAAGACAGTCTAATGTCTAAAAGTCAATTAAACATTTTTACCTAAAAAGACACGTGGACGTTGTCAGCTGCGAAGCCAATATAATTAATTAAATTATAATTAATAACCTATCCAGGCAATAGTTGCCGGGGATGCATTAAACGAATATAAAAATTTGCACGTTCAAAAATCCAAAGGTTTAAAGGACAATTGAAATTATCTTTATTCGATTGGAAATATAGTCGATGCAAGTTAATTGCGCAAATTAAAAAAAATAAAGTATACTATTTGCACGAATTGCGAAAATAATCCAACTGTAACTCTAGTTGGTTTACGCAAATGCAACATGGAACTGCACTTGGGATATTTGCATTTCTCGATCGTATCGTTTTTCAACTTATGTATAATTACACGTGTGTGCAATTAATGACTATTCGAAATGACCTCGCAGCCGCGCGTGCCAAAATGAACAAATGACGCGACACGAGCCGCATGGCTTGCCAGAGAAATCTCGCGATCTGAACTTGGCGATACGCAAAATTAATTTGGCAAAAGGCTCCGTTTAAAAAGCCTTTCTGTGAGGACATGCGCGTTCAGCTTTGGGCCGTGTCGTTAAAAATATTTTTTTTCTGCTAGTTTGTCGTTTGTATTATTACAATGCGTTTGATATTGTTCTTTGTTTCTCATGTGTTATTTTTTTATTTATATATATATATTTTTTTTTTTTCTTTATTATCATCGTCACTCAGTCGCGACACGGTTCGAGCTGAAGGCCCACGCAGTGCGTTTTAATAATTTTGCTATCATTAGGGCGGAGGGTGGGTAATTGAACTACTTGTCCAAAAGAAATTTTTTTTTTACTGCGTAACAATGATATTTACGTGAAATACGAAAATTCGTATAAAAGTGCAAATTCAAGAGTTATTGTATTCTTTTAGTTTCATTTTTTTAGGAACTTTAAACGAATTGTATGTTGTATGAAGTTACTTGGAGTTTTGTCAAGTTTATTTGATTAATATCAATTATTGACGTTTGATTGTTTTTCTCTTTAATAGGAACAAACATTGCCGTGGAGGCAATTTCGAAATTAATCGTCTTTTTTCGACTTTCTTTTAGACAAGTAGCGTCATTTTGGAAATAGTATACAGACGAAGAATCAAGAGAGAGTCATGCTGTCATGCAGTGTGCTGTGCCGATGAAATATAAACGCGATTGAATTTGCAAGTAATGTTTTTTGCTGCAAAAAATTTTTACGCAAGGCAATTTTTTTTGTAAATTTCAAAAAAATTCATGAATAGAGAAATCTTTCGATAGCAACGCGTTAAGTTTTTCATTTCATATATAAATATATATATACACATATAATTGCATATATGTATACGTATATATGTATTTAAAAATGATCATCTGTCATTATTATTGTTTTGTATCTTTAAAGTAAAACCAAAGTCCATCCTTTATATATTACGGTAGTGCAGTGTCATGCAATACAAAAAACATTGACTAGATTGTTAAATGCATTAAAAGAAAAAATAAAGAACCAATATATGTATATTTCAAAATACCCGCGAGACAACGTGAAGAATAATAATGGCACAGATTTTGCGACAAAAAATAAAACCGACAGTTTACAGTACAGAGCGAGAAACGGCGTCATTGGTATCGAGAAAGAAATGAATACTGAAAGTGAAAAATATAAATTTCAAAGAAATGAATAAATGTAATAAATAATTTTATCTTTCGTGACGTATTAAATCCTATTGATTTCATTCCACACGCATATTCCAATTTTGTTTAATTAATTACTCTACGTTGTTAAGCTCGTATGAACGTGCTTTCGAAAATTAAATTTCTCATGAGTCACGCATATTGTCCTCTCGAAATAGGCAGAAAGAAGAATCCTGACCTTGCTCAACGTTATTGTTGTCTTCAGAAGTCTCGTTTCGCACAATTGTGTAAATATATATCGACGTGCAAACACTGTCGTGCGTCGTTTGTACGCTAGGTAAAAGGAGAGAAAACATTTCTTTAATAAAAAAATGTTTTCGATTTTTTTTTAACATTTTGCAAAATTTCCAGAAGCACGTTCATTTCCGACACACGTAATTCAGTGGGCATGCTTTATAACACGCCGTGTGAAGAGACACCTTCCCAAGCGCAATCTAACTATATAGGGTGGGTAATATGTTCTTGAGTAGGTTTGGATTTTCAGATGTGAAGGTTAGGTTATTAGTGAAAGTACAAGACCGTAACAGAGAGAGAGAGAGAGAGAGAGAGAGAGGGAGGGAGAGAGAGAGAGAGAGAGAGAGAGAG